AGGAAGTCATGTGGTGTACATATCCTACTGGTTCAATACCTAAAAAATATTTAATGAAATAGTTTTATTGTTAATTATGTTATTAAAAAATGGTACTTTACGAATTAAACAACCAACTTTAAATGTACTTCTGAATTACATAAATCTACCTAATCTACTTAAAATATTAAAAACGTTTAAATTTGGATCTGGAAATCTTTCATATACAAAAGTTAAAAAATCAGCTTTAGGAAAAAATATGGGATTATTACCATTCTTTAATATTTTAGATAAATTAAAGAAAGAACAACCTGATGTTTTTGGTGGTTTTTTTTACCATTAATATTGCCTATTTTAACATCTTTAGATTTAGGAACTGTAAGCGGTATTGGATCTTCGGGAATTAAATAAGCGTTAGATAAAATTTCAGGAAAGGGAGTTACTCAACATTTAGAAGATAATTATGGATATGGTGTGAATAAAAAAAAACGTGGAATATAGAATTAACTGAAGCAGGAATATTAGGTAAAACGATTAATGAAAATATGAAAAATGAAAAAGGTTTTAGTGGGATTTGTACATCAGATTCATTAATTGAAAAAAATTAAAGAAATCGAAAATAGGATTATTAATTTAAAATTAATTGCAAGGTCTGACGTGGCGATTATAAGAATAAATCTGAATCTTGCTTTTGTTTCAAAAATTGTCCATTACTTTTCTGTACCAATGAAAGTTTTACATAGTTAAAGCAAGTATCAAATATTATATAAGTGTTTTTATTCGAGCATGTTTTAGCTCTTTGTGCATTCTTTTGTCAGTACATAGACATCCTAATAATCTAGTGGAAGATGAAAATTATTTTGCTTTTCTTTGAAATATATTTGAGTTCACTTTCATCATCTATTACGCAACAGGTTATCTGATGAATTTAAAAATACATTATGCTAAGAAAGTTTCATTTAGAGTTAATTTTAACAATAATTTCTAAGCATTCTTTATTTCCTTCGTAAAGAACTGATTTCATATTAGAGTGCTTGCTCCTTTGCATTTGAGTAGAATAGATTACCTAAGATATACTTAGTAGAATTCTTGTATTTAAATAATATCGAGAATAATATTATATATAAATATTTGTCTCTGAATGTTGTTTTTCTCTTTCTCAGTTAAAAAGCATTATAATAAGGAAAAACTTCGTGCTCTGTCGATTTCCATTCAGAATCTAAAAATCAATTCGTATTCTCCTTTAAATAAATACATCAGGAAAGCATCTTCCTGACCGACGAACAGAAGTGCCAAAGTACGTAAAATTACCGCTTTCATTAATCAGCATTTTTCAATCTAAACTTAGTTCTTTCATTTGATGCGATACATGTAGCCCAAATTTTGCTAAATTTTGTTCAAATATGTTATTAATAATCTTGAAATCTGACCAAAAATTGTCCCTATCTATTCAAAACAAAGATTTGCCTTAAAGAAATAACGAATCAGCAGCATAGGGACTCTCATAATCATCTAAGAGCTATATGGCGTGACGTATGGCTGTTGTCTCAAGCCTGACGGACCGAGTTCTTGGGTCTCAGGTGACCCTTCTATATTTCCAGAGAGGAAGTTCGGTGCATCAGGACTAGGCCACAGCCTACATCACCATCGTTTTTTGAAACATCGGAGAAAACTTGTATAAACTTCGAGAAGTGGGCACTGTGCTGAGAGATGGTGTGAGCTATAACCCCTTTATCACCCTTTATCCCTTTACCAGCGGCAGAGCGGTAAAAGCCGCTGAACATTGATAGTTCGATCCGAGGTTCGAGTCCCGACGAACGGCCTGGCTGCATGGGCATTTTCGTGGTTTTCCCCACGTGTAACGTGGACGTGAATACGAGCCAGTTTTCCTTAAAAAAGAACTCCACGGGCATCCCTCCCTTTCCGTGTAGTGCCTAATGGCAAAGCACGTAATAAGCACAAAAAAAAAAAAAAAAAAAAAAACTTTTACCACGGTTTGATGGACAGGTTGCATTTATGAGACGTTTTCTTTCATAGTCCTCTGGGTCATAACATTCCGGTCCATAAGGGGTGCAAAGGTGTATTTGCAGGACAATCGTTACTGCTGCTTCTTGCGTTGCTTTAATGTGTAGTGGCAAAACTCCAGCCCGTATTGTAGCTGCTGCTGTTGTACGGTATCCTTTTGTAATAACTAAAGCATAGGGCGTTGTATGTTGCTGAGCAATTTTCGTTCATTGGAATTGCCCAGATTGCTCTCCACATAGTGCCATTTTTTTTCCGACGAAATGATAGAGGATTTTCAGCCAGTCTGAGGCTTGAAGCCTATTTAAAATACTTGAAATTGCGTGTCTCCTTGTGTGGACTGCTCTGAGGTGAGGCAGGCAGGAAAGCTTTTCACCGCTAAGCCCAGCAGTTTTAGTTCCCATGATCGCTTGATTATACGGCCCTTTAACTTCAAAACTGGATTTCTTGTAAATGTTTGGCCTGATTTGTGTACCATCAAATACTTTGACTTTCACTTCGAGGTTGTGAGTTTCTTGCCTTCTCAGAGCCGTTCAAATTGCACTATGGTCTCATTACTGTTTCTTTCCAGCTGCTCTCCGGTTTTGCATCTGATGATGAATGTCACGTCATCAGCAAAAGCAATCACCTTTGTGTGGGTTGGCCACAGTGCCTTGGGAATGGAATTAAAAGTTGCATTTTATAGGTCAGGACCTTGCACATGAACCCCGAGGACAGCTCCTGGTCTACCTTTTTTTGACGACTCCTCCATCATGCACTGCTACAAGAGTGCGATCAGAGACAACTCTTGCTCACCTGCAGAAGATTATTAGGGATCTGCGCGTCGTGAAGCGCCTCCAGGGTTGCTGTCCACCACAATCAATCAAACGCACTTTTCAGATCAAGACTGAGTACGGCTACGTGGGTTTTAGAGTCATACGCGTCATAGATTTCTTTTTGTATGGTGTTAAGAGCTTGGATAGTTGAGCGCTGCTCTCGAAAACCATGCTGAGAGTCCGTAATCTCACCTTTAATCTCCAAGTACTGCTTTATTCTCTGAACTAAAAGTTTTTATAAATTTTCCCTGTGGAGGCACAGGGGACAGATGAGCTGGAAAGAGGCCGAATCATTTGGATCCTTTTCTTTTTTGGGGAAGAGAAAAACTTGCTCTGTCTTAAAGGACAGGAAAATAAAGCAGTTGCAGAAACCTATTGTAAAAATTTTTAAGAAACGCTGGTTTTGCCTGTGCATCGTCTTGGCAATGTTGTAGTCTAACGAGTCGGGCCCTGGGGCTTTCTTCCTCTATAGAATCCGCAAAGCAGGGTAGACTTGAGGATGAGAGAATGTCACGTCATGTTCTGTTGTGGAGTGTAGAAGGTAAGCTGTGTGTTCTGGATTGGGAGCGTCCAATGTATTGTCATCTTGAAAGACTGCATCAAGAATCTTGGCGAGCGTTGCCGCAATATTGCTCCTCTGCTCTTCTGCCGGTTGCGCATTATTGGTGTCGTCTGGGTAGACCTTGTGAATTGGGGAGCAAAGACTTTATTCGTTGCTCTTTTCTGCAATATTCCATACGGCTTTTTACTGCTTGTGCAAAACGCCCTCCAGCTGTTCAGTTTTGCTTGGAGAATGGCCTTTCTATACAGAGCTTCTTCTTTTCTATATATAAAACTTAGTTCTGTTCGGCGTTCTGTACTGTGCTCCAACTTCATCTTCCTGCGAAGCTCGGGTCTTAGTCCTATGTGCCCTGAGATGTTTGGTCCACCAGTTGGAAAGTCGAGTCAGAAATGGTCTGGAGCTCTTTAATTAGAGTGCTAATGAAGCTATCAACGTCATCTGCATTGTTACAGTCTTCTAAACTTTGTTCTGCATGTGTCAGAGTATTGCGGGGCTTTTAGCTGAAGAGCTTTAGCGTCCTTCGCGTGAATTTGTACCGCTTGACAGAGAATTTTTCATGTTGGTGCCCTATGCTGTACGTAATGTATTTATGGTACGAGTGAGACGGGGTATCATTAGCCATCCAGAAATACAGTTTGGATGCAAAGGCTGCTGTTGTTAAAGTTAAATCTGGCCAACTCCTGCCCGTGAATTATTTCATATGTGAGTTGACTGCCTGGGGCGTTATGCAGGACAAGATCATTACACGAAGGATGTCCTCCACCTGGCTTTCTCGAGCGTCAGTACCTGAATAATCCCACAGTTCCGAGAGGGCTTTGAAATGACCTGCTAGTAGATGGTCTGCTTTTGGATATGTATACAGAACTTCTTGTTGCTGTTCAAGTGAAACTTGCACATCTGCTGAAGGGGGAATGTAAACGTTTGTAATTACTAGACTCTGTCCTATTGTTGCAATTGCTATGGAGATTACGTCTTTTGTACATCTGATTATACTGACAGACCATCTTTGCCAGCAGCAAGTGGTGGAAACTCTGGATTTGTCAGTAGCATTCACTACTGTCTAAGAATGTGAAAAGTTGATGACTGTATTGTCCTGCTGGTGAGGTTCCTAAATGAGTATGAATTCAATTTCATGCTCCATTACGAATTGTCTGAGTGAAGCCTTAGCAGCTCGTACTGTTTACAAGTTTATTTGCACAAATGTGACAGCAGCAATATCCGTGGTCTGCTCATTCAGGTACCTGTTACTCGGTGCAGCTGGGTGGGAGTTTTGGAGCATATCATATTGCTTGAGGTATTTCAGGTTCTTCATCATAAAGGAGTACTAGGTCTGGCCCATTAGTATGCCGTGAAGTTACGGATGTAACTTGCAGCTCGTTGATATTACGGACATTGTGGTGAATAGGCAAGATGTCTGAAATCACTGCAGTTGACACTGTAGTTGATACAGACAGAGTGCTGTAAGTGACATTCTCTCACACTATGGTTATCTCCGCATAAGGAACAGCAGTTATTTTTCTTTTACAGACATCCTGGTTATGTCCCAGCTGTTGACATTTGAAGCAACGTCGTATTCTGAGGTATTCTGAGGTAATGTGCATATTCCACCCCCGAACACCTTTTTGACTCTAATGATAGAAGGAAATATGGAAGACTCACTTTCAAGGATCCACTTAATTCTTTTTTCTGTTTAATCTGTTATCTGTTTAATAAAATGAGCTTAATAACAACTGAAATAGCAATTAAATAACAATTCCACAACCAATCTCTCCTAATTTTTTTTTCAACTTGTTAATATTGAAAAAATCCGCTATTTTTGCTTTTGCTTCATTAATTTCAAAGCCTTGAAAGAAAAAGACACTGAGATCTCTACATTATCTACTCAAAATCCTGGTAACTTTTATGATGGTGGGTTTTACAAAGTCTGGAAGACTCACTTTCACGGATCCACTTAATTCTTTTTTTCTGTTTGATCTGTTTTCTGAACTTCATGTAAATTACGGAGAATTCTAACAACAAAATTTTAAACTATTATATTACAGGGTACCTGAGCTTTTAATCCACCGACTTATAAGGCCTTGGCTATGGTATAATCCCATCTACAAGCTTACATCTTCAGGTCGAAAATTTCGGAAGTATATGGAGCTTTTGCGTAGTTTTGTAGAAAAGGTAAGGACTTCGGAAATCAATTTTTGATTTTTGGAAATGAAACGTGCCATGAAACTTCTCCATTTGTTTTCATACTTAAACTGTTATATCCTGAACATTTTACTTGGAGATATTCGGAAGGTCCTTACAGCACTTGGAAACACTGGAAAGGTGCTGTTTGATTTCTTTATCTATTTCTTTCTTCTTCTTTCTATCCCCCACCTCCAAATGAAGGCAACATGTGATCCACAAAATGTACAACATATTACATAAATTGCCTACGAAGATTGAAACAGAAACATGATTGTGAGAATATATTGCCTTTATTAAAATTGTTTATTAAAATTGTAAATTAATTAACACATGATTTAAACCTTATTATGAGTTATTATTAGCTCTCGTCAAGTATAAATGAGCTACATAAATATAAGAACAGAATTTTAGAAAACAAGAGAGCTTCGTGATAGATTTCCACTTTGACGAGCTCTGGGATCTAAGTTATCCGATGTTAGCTTTTCCTCAGCCGAGTAGCCTGTTAGCATTCGTGCGGTAAAGTGGCTGAATACTGGTAGTTCAGTCCACGAGAGGGGCTGGCTGAATGGATGTTTTTGTGGTTTTTTTCATGTGTAACGTGTATACGAGACAGTTTCCGTCAGAAGATCATTCACAAAGGCATCCCTCCCTTTAGGCAGATAGCCATCGAATGCTTTGTCATCATCAAATAAACCAAACCCCAGCCGAGTAACTAGCGAATTTAATTAGAATTAAATCAACTCTTTACCATGTACAGTTGCAAATCTCTAGGAATAACTTATTTTGAAATTAAAATGTAATTTTACATTACCTGGAAATCCCGCAAGAAATGAGATAAGTTGACTATCAGTGATAGCTATTATTGATATGCGTAATGGATATATCTAACTCAAGGCCGATGGAATCTGTCACACGAAATTATAAATCATATTCGCTGCATCGAATTATTGATAATATTTTATTAATAATAAATCGTAGGGCCTCATATATACGACTTAAATTTTTTTTGTCATGTCTATAAGAACGTATTATATACTCGCGCATTCTGAAATGTGTCCAAGAAATTACGGCAGTATATTTAAAATACATAAATACATAGCTTACGTAAATTAAGGTATAAAATACCAGGCACATTTTTGTGTTAATACCTCTCTTATGGCAGTTTTCAGAAATTTGGGCTATTTTAGAGAAAATTCGTGTCCATTCCAAATTCCATTCCAAATGAACACTCCTGCACCACCGTAACGGTGTCGTTCAATGATGTTTTCTTGGTGGTAATTGGTACCTGGAGCTGTCCATATGAAAGTCTGACGAGAATCAGACTACAAGCTAAACCTGGACTCGTCGGAAAACATCACACAAGCCTATTGTTCCGGTGTCCACAATGCATGCTCTCTATCCAGGCTAACCGCAGGCGACAGTGAGTTGCAGTAAGTGGAATGCATGTGACAGGTCTACGAGCATATAGACCAATCTTTCCTAAGCGTCTGTCCACGGTCTGCCTTGAAATTGTCGTACCAGTGACTGAAGAGGGCTGACGAGACAGGTCTGAGACTGTGCTCCGCCTGTTTCTTTTCGCAGTAACTTCCAAATACCGGTCCTCATTCGGCGTTGTAACTCTGGGTCGACCTGTGCTGTAACGTCTACTCACATTACCATCATCTTAGAATCGTTGCCAAAGCCTGGAGATGACACTGTGGGCAATTTCAAGTTCGTCTGATACTTCCAGTTCGGTACGCCCACATTCCAGACGGCCAATAATTCTAACAGGTAAAAAATCATCCAAATGCGTCCTTTGTGTCATAACTATTCGGTTATTGCACTGAAATGCTTATAAAGCGCCTGCGAACAATTTTACTTCTTTGCCTGTATTCCTTATATATTACTCTCTTACACTTTCGTCATTGTGACATACCATCGGTGTTATCTGGTTACTTCCTGAATTTGCATATGATTCTTGAAGATGTGTGTAGTGATTTTACAGGTGATATATTTATTTTAGAGTTTGATTTCCGCGTGACACCGAATTATCCTTAATTTATGGACATGAGTGTAGTATAAGAAGTCCATTAATCACTACGTGATAAACTGAGTCAGATATTTCTTCCTGCTGGATTATGGGTAGTAACGTTGTAGCGTCTAATCGTTCGACAATGAAAAAGTGTGTTTCGATCGAGTGATTCCATTAATCAATTTAATAACCCATTAAATTGTTAGTTAATTATTTCAATAATGATAATTCTAAGAAATAATGACAGCCTCATAAAGTAAGGATAGCTTCGTGAAGTAAAATTTTCAATAACTTTCATGTTCGTACGTGCGATGAAATGGCGAAAAAAAGAAATGATTAAAACAACTAATTTCAGTGACTCTATCTAAGAAATAAAATACTAAGAGCAGTATATTGCATACTACATCATTATCAAATACAAATTTGTTTAAAAAATTCTTTTTTAATATGTTCAGTGAAATATTTTAAATGGGTGCTGAATTAAACATTTTAATTATTGCTCTAATGGACGTATTTGATGATGTCGATCATGTTAGCGACTGGTCGAGAGAAGATAATTTTGACTATTAATAGCCATACTTATTCCTCTTCCAAGAAATACCTCTAGATTTAGCGGTGGTAGTCTGAGAGAGGGTGTCGCCATGAAAATATTAATTTTATTTCATGTTAAGAATATTTTTAACGTATTTGTTTCGATTGCTAACATTTTAAATCTTATATTCGTAAGTATTGTATTAGCCAAATTGCCAAACTTCTGACAATACGTTTTATTACAGATCATCCTGAGAAGGAGAGAATCACTTCAAAAAATTAGGCAAGACAATGCTGAATATCAGTTGTTTGAAAACGATAAAAGCACTTGTTTGGATATAATGTTGGAGGAACACTTTAAAGATACAAGTCTCACGCTGACAGATATACAGGGACAGATGCACAGCATCTTGTTTGCTGTGAGTAATTTCGAATTGTTTATTTGTTGAGAAATGTTTGACACACATATTTTAGATTGTATCTGCACATATAAGGTGTATTGTAATTAACACATTGTTTTTATCTTACTTCATTGCTGTACCTTCTATTTCTTTCATCGGTGTCACCAGTGGGCAAACTACTTCGAGTTTAACCATTTCACCGTATTCCCCTTGATGGACTCGTCGATTTGAAAGTTGTCGTCACACGTTTGCAACGTCGCACACTCTTCGGGGGTTAAATTAAGGCTAGATTGTTACCCCCCGAGAGACAGTCGTCTTTTCAAAACCCCCAAATACTGCGAAAATGAAAAGAGTTGATTGATGGCTTAATTGGTCACGATCTCTCCACAGCGTAGTACTATAAAAAACGCCAAAGACGGGAAATAGGAATGCACTTCCAGCTTCCTTCAGCTGATACTGCAATGGAACTACTTATCCTTTTAAAGAGTTCTTTTATGGGATGGTCTTTGTTAACTTTCGGATAAGAGAATAGCAGTCACACAAGATTATTTTCGCCCTGAGTAGGTAACAAGTAAGCGGTTTTGTAATTAGGTTTTTGACAGTTGCTAAAAGGTTGAGGGGATGTTTCTAAGTCCAGTTTCAGATGCATAAACATTATTTTTAAAGGAAAAAAAAATGCAAATGTTTGAGTTTCTTAGGAAAGGGAAATTGTTAACTAGGGGAAACAAACTTGTAGCTGAGGGATGCTATGGCAACCCGCTTGTCAGTAGTCGTTAACCTACAGCTGAACGGTCTCTCTGTAGAAAACTTTTATTAGCTTGTACGGGTGAAATCCACGCTAACTGATACCTAGTTAGTCAAACGTTGAAACGTAAATTCTTTGTTATGCTCGTTCAAGCATCTGAATTCTTGCGAGTCAGCAGCAACTCTTAGTCAGTAGTCGTCAAACTATAGCTGACCGGTCTCTCTGACGAAAGATTTGCGCATTTTATTAGCTTGTACGGAAAGAATCCAAGTTGATACCAAGTTAGTCAAACTTTGAAACGTAGCTTTTTTGTTGTGCGAGCTAAAGCAACTGAATTCCCGAGAGCCAGTAAGTAGCAGTAGTTAGTTTTGTTAAATTGTATTGTACTAGAAGTCTACCTTTTGATGAAATGTTAAGCTTATTAACGCTGCGTTTATGAATATTGACTTCTATTAAGTTAAGGTGGCCATACGTCCTGAATTTTCAGGCCCTGTCCGAATTTTTTACGATTCCCCCTTTTTTTTTTTTTGTTCCGAATTTAGAGAATTTGTCCCGAATTGTCCCTAGAAACAGTAGTGTGAGAACGTAAATGTTTAACTGCATATATTTATTTAAGTAGCGAAAATTGCAAGTTGAGAATACAAGTGTAAATTAAGAGACGCGCGCCATACCGGCTGCATAAACAGGGGATTCCCCATCTAACGTTTTCCTTAGAAAAATTCTAATGGGGAAATTCTATTTGCCATTCCTGTATTTCTCTTCCCAGCCCCCCTCCCTCCCAACATACATGAAATTTTTTATCACATTTGCAGTTCATACATTCACTTACAGACAGTACTGAAATTTTTAACTGATGTATTAATTCGATTGTGATTTGAGTTCGTGATACAGTAGAGCTCCACTTATCCAAATCAATAGGGACAGGACTCCATTCATATCAAATACTCAGATAACTGAATTTTCTCCGAAGGAAGGGTCTACGTACACTTTAATTAATTAATGTATGTACTGTGTGTTGAAAATAGAAGAAAAAAACTATTGGTAAAGAAAAGATGTTTTAATTAATTAAAATTAAATTAATGTTTCTTCAAATAGAAAGAAAATTCAAACCCATATTTCTTTATTAATATATATTCTACGAATCTTAAGCCAACTTTTTCCAATTTTAAAGCATGTTAGGCAACTTCTATTCCTTAGTTTAACATTACGTTGCGGTTCTTTAGTGTATACGTTGCTGTCTTTGCATATGCTTTTTAAAAGTTGTGATTGTAGGTAGCTGCAGGAATTTGGATCGAATGAGGATGGCCTGTAAACTTAAATTTCCTAATTATTTTATAAAAATGTTCCCATTGACATATCTTCTCCCATTAACTTTTTGCTGCATTGATTGCGAAATGTAACAGTTAGACTGAGTAAAAGAACTTGTTATTTATCTATAACTGTGCGTAATGCGTAACAATAATGTGCATTCATTTACACGATCAATAGCTAGATTTCGATCTCATACTTTATATCCTTAACATGTAAAAGTAGGCGAAGAATGCGATAAAAAGTATTGGCTTTTATTTCTTATTGTGTTCCATAAATCTTTCCAGAGGTGTAGTCATAGTTATATTTGTGGATATATTTTAATAACTTCATCATCAATGAAGTTCCAGGAAATTTATAACCACTCTTTCAAAGGGCACTTAGATATTAAATCATTCGAAATTTCCTGTATAAGGAAGGACTCATTATATGTTTATTAAATTATTCTTTAGTTGATATTGAGCCTATTCGCTTTCTATATGAGTATTGACTATATGACTGAAACATATTCTATATTCTCTATGACTAGTCATATAGACAAACATTCTATATGACATATATATTCATATAGACATATAGACAAACATTCTATATAACTGAAACACAAACTCACTTCATTTTATTTAAAAGAAAATCTGTGCATGCTACTTCCACAGATGATTTTTTCTAAATGCGGCTAATGTAACTTTTTAAATTTGATGCACGTTAATTTAGAAGTTTGTGGGGTTCCAACTTTGTATCTAACAGCTAAGTGTGTAGGAAACTCGTGAACAGGTAAGCAAATATTCGCTGTAGTTCAAGAAACAGATACGTAAAACTCAAGAAGGGTTAATTACCCTTTGTTTCTCAAAATAAGAATTTCACATACGATCCCTTTCTCAGGACGTACAGCAAAGCCTCCATTTGGGCTTGAAATCAAAGTAATAAGAAATAAAACTTAACTAAAACATATAGCCGAAGTTATCACAAATTTATAATTAGTTACCCCTAAATATTTATTAAGCTGGCGAAGCTATCAATAGCCTGAGACACGGCCGAGCGTAAAAATAGCTTAAAACTAGTATAGCCTAAAAGGCAACCGCGCGCTAGTGAGAATCTCTGGCTCTCTAAGTCAGTGGAACTTCGACTTGAATACCGCTCATTTGCATTTACTGCGATTTTAAAAAAACACGTTCTGGTAGGAAATTGTAAGCTGAAATTAGGAGGGATAGGAAAGTAGCTTTGACTAAAGATAACTGTTCAAAACTTAAGACAAACATTACAAGTTATTCATTTAATTATAACCTTTTATATTTCACTGTTATTGTTGCTTTTTCCAGCATTGTTTTTGTAGGTGATCCAGATTTATGTTCGCCATTAAACGTCAAATTTATCGGTCATTTCCATTTTTAACCAGTAAATGTGAGAGCGAAACTACGTGACAGATATTATAATCTTTAAACTTTGCGGTACTTTTCCGTTTCGCCGGCGCAAATCTCGCCATGCAGACTTTGTTGGCGACAACATACAGTATACACATAAAAAATGTTAATTCTAAGAATTTTTTTTTATTGTGAAGGCATAAACATTTTAATATGGTTTAAAATTTTGTAAAAGATAAATAAAGACAAAAATTGTAAAAGACATTAATTTAAGAATTTACTATGATTTCATGTTCAAAATCCTATTCGCGGTTTGTATTCGTGAGCCAAGTGATCTCATCTACGTAACTACGCTACTAAATTTAATTCGCTCAGTAATAATTGCATTAATTTTAGGTAAATCTTATTTGGAAACAGGTTAAATGCAAGAATTATGTTCAATTCGTACGAATAGCTTACTCAGAAATTATGTAAAACGCAGTGCTTTCTTCGCTAGTGCATTCTCATGAATTGATGAATTAACCTTGATTTCCTTCGGATAGCGTGTATTGCGTTCTAATTGATTAATTCCGTGAATGTCCTAGGGGATAAATTTAAATATCGTGTAAAAATTCTATATTATTGTATGCCAGTTGAAAGAACACTGATAAAAATCTTCAACTTGTTTTGAAACTGAGGCGTAAAAGGTTACCAGCGAAGATATTCCGTCTGGCATCAGTTAAACCATTATTGGCGACTTTATCGTTTGCGCCGGCAAAACGGAAAAGTACCAACTTTGCTTCATAGACATCCTAATCATAGAAGTTTGAATCCAGTGCAAGATGCAATAAGGGTAAAGAACTAGAGTTTTCTAAATTGCAGCGTTTCTTACCCTAAAAATATCAAATGCGGTAATTGTTGCAACATGAAAAAGATTTCTCATTAGCTTTCACTGGGGACAAATTATTCACTTATATTTATATATTACTAGCGAAAGTATCCCGATGCCAGTTAAGCTAGATTGAGGGTAATGCATCTAACAACAAAGAGATCCTTCTGTAATCCTTTTCTAATAACGATGCAAAAAATATCATTCATTGTCATACATTTTTCAGTCTGATGCAATGCGGAATTCACATAAAAAATTTCGATAGGAAAATTAGTTAATTCTCTCTCTCATTATATCAGCAACAGTGACACGCAATTTTTAATGATTTCCGTCCTAATCAAATGATCATAAAAGCTCAAGTTCTCTCCAATCTTTCACTGATATACAGTTTTATTCGATTAAATGTCGCAAAAAATTGATCATAGTTAATCAGAAATTAATAAGAAGAACGAACAAACAAACACACAAACAGACATTCTTCCTTATATGTATAGATTTTGCAAAACTTACAAATTTTTGATTAACAAACACTACAATTTGAAAGCGAGCAGTTGCAACACTTTTCGAAATAAAGTATTTTTATCTCCAACGCGCGACACTGTTGCCACTCGGAAAAATGAGTGCGATAATTACGTCTTCTGATTTGTTATATTCGACTCGAAGTTTAATTAATATGCGGCGAACTACGAAGTTGGAAGGAATGGTTCCAGCATTTTGGAATCGGGAATAATGTATTTAATGTTTGACGATGCTATTTTTATTTCATAGTAAAACTTCAAAATTTTTATTAACAAACTCTAGGATTTGAAAGCGAGCGGTGGCAACAACTTTTGAAATAAAGTAGATTTTCATTTCCAGTTTGCGAGACTCTTGCCACTCGCAAAACTGATGGTGAAAATTATCGTTTTTCCGAGTTTTTAATTAATATCTCTGAATTTAGCTATTTTTTCCTGGGAAAAAAGTGGACGTCGATCTCTTCCATGACCCAGAAAAGAATGTAGAAAGTTTGGTCACGATAGCTATAGTAGTGACTGAGTTATTAGAAGACAAACAAACAGACTTCCTTCTTTATATATATAGATGTAATTCATAATTGTAATAATGTTGAATTTCTTTCCTCATAAACGCAAATACAAATTATTTTTTGTTGAGAGAAAACAATTTGATTTGAAAAGTTCTCTTGTATATATTTAATAATGTTTTGGTAATATTTAATCATAGTTTTATAGCTTTCAAGTATTAATTGAATAAATCATGTTTTCCAAGACTGCATTGAATGAAACTTTTGTTTTTGTAAGGGATTTGATACGACAGCAACTACACTGAGCTGGGCCCTTTGCCTTTTGGGCCTTCACCCTGAAGTGCAAGATAAGGTCTTCCAAGAGTTGTACTTAATATTTGGAAGTGATAAGACAAGAGAAGCCACATTAGATGATTTGAATAAAATGATATATTTGGAACAAGTTCTCAAGGTACAGAAATTTAGATTTAAAATACTGTCTTCCTATTTTTATAATGTTTTCCCTTTTATTATGTTTCTTTATACAAAATAATCAGCAATTTTAGAAACGTTTAGAAAGTCTCTGCTCACCTGGTGCAGAAAATGAAATTGGCATTAGTTATTTATAATTAAAAGTTGAAATTAATTATTGTTTATATGATGGATACTGGAAAGCAAACGTTGCGTCAACATTACTTTCAGTACATTAATATTCAGATTCATTATGTACTCTTCAATGCTTGTCTTTAGTTTCCCTGCGTACGGAAAAAATTGAATGCAATGTAAAATGCAGAAAACCACACTGTGCGCTTTGCGTTTTCATAAAAAAATACTAAATAAATACTAAATGAAAAATCAAATGAAGGGTACTTTGGAAACCAAATACAATTAGGCAGACACTAGTCACTTTTAAATTGTGAGATCCGTTACCTGTGTCTTCAGAGCTTGTATTATGACCTGTCGGCAAGATAAGATTGTATGAAGAATTCGTATTATCCAGACGTTTTCGGGACTAAGGCCATTTAGAATAATTTGTTTAAAATTTAATTAGATACTTACCGAAATGCGACTCTAGAAACGGTGATTTTTATTTGCCGTATTTTTTCAGCAAATAATATCCGCCTAAATATAGATAATTTTTTTATTCTGTGAAACAGAGTACAGAACATATTTATTTAATCAAAATTGAACAATGAAATTATTACTTTCTTATACGGAGTATTGTAATGACGAAAAATTCAGGGTGTCATATTTCAACGAAAATATGCATTTTGACCGCTATCGAATGCAATTTAAAGATGCTTTTGCGTGACATCTGTACGTAAGGACAGAATAAAGGACTCCTTTTCTCCAAACGAATATAAAACTGATATAATAGATTCAGAAGAGAGTTTTTCGTGGCGTCTGTAAGTGCGTACATACGTACGTATGTATGTATGTATATATCTCGCATAACTCAAATACGAGTAGCCTCAGAACATTGAAATTTTGTACATAGGACTGCTATAATACGTTGTTGTGCACCTCCCTTTTTGGTTGCAATCAACCGCACCAAAGCTATATATAAATGTGTATGTATACATACCCACTCTGTTACTCGGCTCAGTGAGCTCGTTTTTATTCTTATATGTTGGTAAATTGCGAATATTTTGCTTTAAAAATGATTGAATTATGTTGGTCTTTAGTTAATCTGCATGCAATAGTAATAGAATTATCAACAATTTAAAAATTCTTTAAATGCCTCTAAGCCTAATTTTTGTTTACCATAGCAACCATATTTGTTTACATTTGAAACTTAGCAGAATAGTGAATTCACTTTCTGCACCTTCAGTGTCTTTTTGGCGAGTGGGGCAAAATTAAAACTTTCTTTTTGGGCCCCGAAACATAGCTTTATTGCCTGCTGGCCGAATGGCCTTTGTGCGTAGAAACGTTAATTGTACAAAAATGTTTGTTGTTTGGTTTATTTTATATTTTTAATAAAGATATTTTGAGGTTTTATGTGTGGATTTAATACTTGCGCGAGTAAGAAACTGAACTATTGAATGAGATCGAATCTCTAATGAAGTTCTAGGAAATAAGTGTTTCTCTTAGTAGCAAATATGTGCCAGAGGCCTGGACAGAGAGAATTACGAGTAGCGCATGCGATTAGTAACAGTGCTGAATCGCAGTGAAAAGCGGGTTCTTTTATTTGTTTATTGTTTCATACCTCGTTTAGTTTTGGTATAGTATTGAATTATAATGCGCAACGATTAATAATTCTCAGATGCTAATTTTGGATCTAAGTATAAAGAACTGCGTTGTAACGCTGGTAGTGAACCTAGGCCGAAGGTCGCTATGGAATAAATGAGTGAACTTAAAGAGTGCTTTAATCTAGTGGGTGTATGCGTTATCGACGAAGAGATTTAATTCAGTCAATAATGTAGTGAAATGCAAGACGAAAAAATGGTTTAATTATATTACATAAGTCATTTCATTTACACATCAGATTTTTTTTGCTTGTCTTAGAACTTTATTTGAAGAAAAATTGCTTTCATGAATAATAATAATAATAATAATAATAATAATAACCCTAATAAAACATCCACTAACACGAAAAAGAAATCGTAATAAGCAGCAGCAGTCGGTAATCAATCTGGCCGCGGTTACAAATCTTATAGCAAGTCGAAATGTTTTCTTGCATGAAGAGCATTGAATAATTAAAATGAATAATGGGTATAATTTCAAGAAGATATGTTTCCTGATTTTAAAAATGTAACTATTTTGACTAAGCAATGATCGTGGTACAAGAAAAAACTGCAATTTTAAGCAGTAGTAGATATCATTGAATTAAATAAGCTAAATGTGTAAGACATAGGTATTCTTAACAGCATAGACAACGCATTGACGTCCCATTATTATATATATTCTTAAAAAATAATCCACTATACATATGCACTGCCTGACAGGGAAGTGCAGTACAGAATGTGATGAAAAGTGTCAACAGAAGTGAAAATATAAGTAAAATATTTTAATTAAAAAAAGTTAGTGCAATACGGTGATCGAATATTCACGGTAATCGGCAAGACGTACGACCAACTCTTGCAGGAGAGAAAAAAAAAAAAAAAAAAAAAAAAAAAAAAAAAAAACATCGATAAGGTACACACCTAAAACTTGCATGCTGCCACTTCATGAGAAAAGGATGACAGTTCAACCATGCGAACAAAATCGTGCTGCGATTAAAGCTGGGTGGCCAATCGTGGCCGACAAATGTCTGTAAAGATATAGAGATCTCGGTGGCCAAGGACGCATCTTTGCAGCAAATCTTCTGAAGATGTTGTGTGCGGTCATGCATTAAAACGTTTGATAGATAATTTTAATACCACTGTATGTAGTATTAAAATTATCTATCAAAGTATAGTAGTGTATCCGTCTGCAGCATTTGAGTCACGTATCTTTGCGCCTTTGCTGCGAATCAGAGATGACAGTCTAATCCATGATGCTTCGCTGACGACACTACGGATCCCAACATTCGTAGCACGACTGGATTTGTTTCCCTGTTGCTTCCAGACTCTTACTCAGTGGGAGAGACTCGTCAATGTATATTATCCAGTGTCGCTCAGTTGTCCAAGAGAGGATCTAGGACGGGTTTTCGTCGTCGCCATTTCACCGAGGCCGTTGCGCCGTCGGGATGTTTCGCCGTCAAGACATATTTTTCTTTTCATGACTGTATTTTGTCTTGCCGTATTATACTCGCATTAAATTGATTTAATTTAATAATTATGTTTATCTTTTGTATACTTAATAAATGTTGCTTTCAATATATATAGTTATTTACAGGTATGACATGTAAAGAAATTACACACAGTTAGTTGGAAA